CCACTCCACTCTATTCTATTCTACTCTACTCTACTCTACTCTACTCCACTCCACTCCACTCTATTATTCTACTCTACTCTACTCTACTCTACTCTACTCTACTCTACTCTACTCCTATTCTACTCTACTCTGCTCTATTATTCTATTCTATTCTATTCTTCCTACTCTATTCTATTCTATTATTCCTATTCTATTCTATTCTATTCTATTCTACTCTACTCTACTCTACTCTACTCTACTCTACTCTACTCTTCTCTATTCCTGTTCCTGTTCCTGTTCCTGTTCCTGTTCCTGTCCCTGTCCCTGTCCCTGTCCCTCTCCTCTCCTCTCCTACCCTACCCTACCCTATCCATAGTCCCATTTTAAAAGAAGTGTAAACCAGGGACAGAAGGACAGCCACCCTGTGTGGCTGGGGTTTCTGGAGCACATTAGGGGCCCGCAGGTTTCAGCATGCATCCTGCCACCAGGCCATTGTGCCACACAGAAGCAATTAGGGATTTTTAGAAGGACTCCCCCGATATGCAAATTGCTTCCCTTCCCGTCCAACTCCTTAGGAGATTCACACACACACACACAACACACGCTATCCATGTCTCCTGCTCCCTCCCAACTAATTCACAGCGTTCTGACTCACCGTAAGGAGGAGAGTCTGCAAAATTTCAAGGAGGAGAAGGAGGAGGAGGAGGCGGGCAGCCCCCTTTCCAGAGTAACAAATGTTATTAAAAGGCATTAGCTTTCCTAAGCCGCGGCTACCGCTCACCAAAGCCTGGGCTTTTTAATAATAAAGAAAAAAAAAACCTGTGTTACTTGGGGAAAAGCGCCTACCACCGGTATCCGTTTTGGAGAAGGCAGGCCGAGGCGGGATAAGGAGCAGACCATGAATAATGCAGGAGAAATATTGTGCAGGTGGCTATGCCTGCTTAAGCTCATTTGGTTTGAGAGCGACATTGAAAAGGAGGCTAAGTCCTCGGCTGGAAGCTCTCTTGTGATACTTGAAGAACACGGCAGAAGATTATTTGGGGGCTGGGGTGGGTTGGGGGAGAAAGAATTGGAGTCAAGGCCGGAGATCTGCTTATTTGAGCCGGGCACAGGAGGACCTGCGTTCTCCAAGGGAAGGTGGCAATATCACCTTATAGAAGGCTGGTTTAAGCTACTGCTTGATTGTGTGCTTCCAAGTGAGCGTAGTCCTTTAGTAGCCACAAAGATAGACTTTCTCCATGACAATCTCTCCCTAGCCTGGTTTTTCAGATCTATTCTATTCTGTTCTATTCTATTCTATTCTATTCTACTCTACTCTACTCTACTCTACTCTACNGAGCTCCCGTTACTTGTCCCAGCTTCTGCCAACCGAGCAGTTCGAAAGCACGTAAATAAATGCAAGTAGAAAAATAGGAGCCACCTTTGGTGGGAAGGGAACAGTGTTCCATGCGCCTTTGGCGTTGAGTCATACCAGCCATATGACCACGGAGACGTCTTCAGACGGCGCTGGTTCTTTGGCTATGAAACAGAGATGAGGACCATCCCCTAAGAGTCAGGAACGACTAGCACATATGTGCGAGGGGAACCTTTACCTAAGAGTGAAGGGAATTCGAGAGGGGTTGAACTTAGACTGTTTGTGGGCATGTAATGATTCCAGGCTAACTGCTCTCTTGACGCCACCCACCCCCAGGCTCTGCCTGTCCTTTTCCTTCAGCGGTTGACAACTGCAATTGACTGACCGACGGTTTGTCCCAACAGATTCAGCAAAGAGGTCAAAGAACAGATCAATCCTTATACTTACTTGCCTTTCGGAGCTGGTCCCCGGAATTGCATTGGGATGAGATTTGCTCTCCTTACCATGAAGGCCGCTGTGGCCAGCCTGATGCAGCATTTCACCTTCCAGCCCTGCAAAGAAACTCAGGTGAGGATCAGGAAGGGAGCCGTGCTCACCTAGAGAAGGAAAACAACAGGTTGGCATCGTATCTCCCCCCCCCCCACCTTCCTCTCACCACAGCAGAGACAGGAGAGCTAATGAAAGTGTCATGCAGACACCTATTCTGGAGAGTGAAAGCTGGACAGGTAACGCTTCACCTGCAGCCCACGTAACACCCAAGTATTGGGAAGATGCAGCTTGTCATTTTGTGGCTTAACCCTTAACTCTCCCTTCCTTAAATGTATCTTTCCTATTGTAGATCCCACTGGTGATCTCCCCAAAAGGGATCTTCAGAAAACCGACAAAACCCATTGTCTTGAAGATCATTCACAGAGCCTAAATCAAGGTAGATATTCTACACACCCCACCCCGGCGATGGAGTTTCTATGCATTTTTTAAGGACTTTTTTTTTAACCCGGAAAAAGGATTTTACCTGGCTATTATGAACTGTCCTCTCTGTCTCGGTCTCTATGTTTCTCTCTCTCTCTCTCTGTCTCTCTCTCTCTGTCTCTCTCTCTCTGTCTCTCTCTCTCTGTCTCTCTCTCTCTG